ATTTTGCCTTGAGAAAAGTCACTATTATGTGGCCCACAGTTTTCCCCCATAGATTTTGACAGAATTCCTGCCCCCTACATGCCGGAGATTCTGATTAGAATGTAACCACAGTATATATTCTTTATTAACTGACAGTTTCTTTAAGGAAGTAATTCATCCGGCGTTATTCGTCGGTTAACCAGTCGAGGGATGGATAGCAAAATCATTACCTTAAAGCAGTAGGAGTAAAATGGTCTCTTGCATGGGTATGTGAGATTTATGACAGCACTACATGTTATGCATTATGCAATGACTGTTGACCAGTGTGATAGCTGAATAAACTGATATTTTTTATATACCATAAAAAATTAAATAATTCACCTGCTAACACCCAACTATATAATATCTGCAGAAATGAACCATCCAGAAAATCAATGATACTCATGGTTCGTACTTTCATTGATCTTCTTGTTCTGAAGTGCCGACTCTTGCACTCTACAAGAGTTCGAAACGTGCTGTGGTGCATTCTACGTATGCTGATGCTTAAAATAGGCAGGAAGAAGCATTAAGAAACACTAATAGCATTGAAATTAAATTTTAGTTGCTGTTTGTTCATATCAACACCGACGTCGAGGACAATAAGAGAATTTTGGAGTTTTTTGCGATCGATGCAGAGGAGCTACCTACCGTTTGGTAGGTTGGTCTTTTTTGTTTCTTTTTAAGGGTTCCACGTGCGTTGCTCGATTTTTCTAGGATCGTGTCTCTCAAAGATGATATCGTCAAGTACAAACCTGATTTCAAAGGCTTCTCCGTGACTGACACCACAAAGTTTGCACAGGACTACTTAGATAATAAACTCAAGGTAAATATTGACTTTTCTTATCAAAGTTTTCTATAAATAGAATTGGCCGCAAAAACTATATCATATTTACTTATGGTAATTAGCGAATGAAAGGCGCACCAAAACCAAGAGCCGAGGCATTTTAATTGAATGTTTTGAGTCACAGATTAAGTTGTGAATGATTTCGATGCTTCCGTAATAAGGACATCGCACGACTATAAAATAATAGAAACGATGCACCATTTTCATTGCTAGAATCATAATGATTGGGAGCATGGATACATAATCATAATAACATGGCTAGTACAACACCCATTTCTCTCTACTCAGAGAAATAATGAATGCTTTCAAAAAGGAAAGCGAAATATTTGCTGTATTTTGAATCGAACGGCTGATTATCCGGGGCACGGCCAAGAGTGACCTGGATCAAAAGACTTTCGACCGAACCTCAAGCGTAAATGAGGATCGGGACCCGAAAAGATAAGCTGTCATGGATACTGACTTACTGGAAAAGGACTTTGACACTGTAGACATGTTCTCCATGTTTTCACCTCTGGAGCTATCCGCGGCATGATACGGTAAATTTTTGATTTGGCTTTCACGCATTTAAAAGAGTCCGTGTTGTACGTAGTAATGCTACATTTACAGTTTTAGTGTATCCACTATTTAGCACAACAGTTAGTTTAGCGTAAAGGAGAGCATTTTGTTATTTTGTTGGCAATTCGTTAAATATAGATTCTGTTGTGCCTCATTTCCATTTTTCTATATTATCCATCACGCTTCAGCCGGAATTTTTGTTCATTGCGTCGTAATCTTCCTTTCACGTAGTAAATTGCATTATCAAATAATCAAACTTGATTCATTAGTGATTTATGGGGAGGGTATCCTGGCCAGTCGTTCCGTATTTTTGTTCAGTCAGGTTTTGGTGAGAACTATTAAAAAACATTAATCTCTGTTAAACGCAATAACTCGAGGATCAGTAGCTGGTGTCTGCCGTTTTTTGACGGGTCTTCAGGGCTACTGTAGTGACTCAAAGCTATAAATTCTATATTACTTTGTCCTGCGGTGCACGGTGCAGTCCCTTTTGTCTTCGTTCATTTTTTACATAAATAGGCTAAGGTTGGATTATGGACTGCACACGTAAGAGTAGATGGCACGAGTCTAACATTTTGATGGTTCGTTGTAACAGTTTTGTTGCACGCGCAGAAAATGTAATTTTTTTCATTGCTATGTCTCTTTGGCCCAACCAGCCAATAAACTGTTGTGTACACTGGAGCAACATGGTGTTCTGATTTTCGCTGTACCAAAATGGGTCAGATTTACAGTTGAATCGAAAATCGGTTTCAGTCCGTAGGGTGTGACCAGGATTGCTACTGTTTACGATAATGTGTTCATTAAATCTGAGACAAGTGTTCGAAAGCTTTATGTATTTATGCGGCTATATATTTTAATATTTTAATTTTAAATAATCTGAAAATTAATTTGGTGATCAGCACTAGTTTTTTGAATTAGCTTTTGCTGTGACTGTTATTTTCGTCAATATGGCATTATAAATTAGTGGTAATATTTATT